TGTAAAAATACAATCATTGAGCAACTCTGCCTTTCTCACTAATCCCTGATCAAAAAATACGAGCAATCAAATTAATTTGTCGATCATCATATCACGGGCGGCGAAAGAATTTTTAACATACAAGCTAATTCTTATTGGATAATAAAACATTCTTAGGTTCGTTATTTAAGTTCTTTGACCAATCCGAGTAAAATCTCTGATTTGGATATCTGAATCTAAAGATCAAATAGTCGGATTAGGATTAAGAATCGAAGCTCTAACTTTCACTGACCTCTTTTTATATATAATTCCTAAGTGCACACCCTCTCTAAACGCACGTTTATGTCTGGTACCCAGGCGTGCACTTAAGGAGGTTTGACTGTATTTGAATTTTTTTAACCAATTTAATTCCAAATTTTATTTTATTTTAATTAATAACAATAATTGATTTTATTAATATGTATAATTAAACATAATCATTATTATATACTGTATACTGTATTTTGTTTATACAGTACTTTTGTTATCCGAAGCGTAGCGAGACGTTCATTCTGCAGGTTACACACGTGCGGATTTTCGCTTAGAACTTTATCAGGAAAATGATTTTCTAGTTTATACATGCCCATGACACAATACATAATGTTGGTTTTGACATTAATAAAAATCGAATAGCTAAGCTAATTTGTTTTAACCAATTTTCATGATTTGCTAAATCACTACGTATATCGAATGATATCCATATTTAATTTTCCGTAAAAACTTTAGGAAATCGAACTTAATATCCGGGAATCCTCTATGGAGATATGTGCTTTAGTAAGCAAATTATGATGGAAAGACAAACTTTTGTAACAAATAATGTTTAACAGAATACAAAGCATGTTAATAAAGGTTAAAAAAAAAAAACTACGTACAATTTTACGTACGTACGTATTAATGGTAAATTTCTCTACGTAATCACAATTGGTCGATGTACTTAACCAACAAATGAACCAATCGGAAACTTATCTGCTGTGCTTTGCACAACCAACGAATTTATATAAAATTACAAATTTTTGCTTTATTAAAAACCTGAACTCCGCACGAAACTATCCTTTATGCTTGATTTTTATTCAATTCTAACACCTGAAAGTAAAATGAATTTAACAAGACCTTCCACCTCCTCTTCTTCGGCTGATGCCCCAGGCTTGCTTTATGCCGGCTTCAATCAAGACTTTGGGTGTTTTGCTGCTGGGTTAGATAGTGGGTTTAGAATATTCAATTGTGATCCCCTGAAAGAAAAAATGCGTAAAGGTAACATCAATCTATCACGGGGTTTATAAATAATACTTGTAACAAAGTATAAGTCCGAGATCTTATCGAAGACGTACTCAACCAACACTTTCACAACTACTGGTTTTCATAGACTTCGACGACGGTGGAATATCGATCGTTGAAATGCTATTTCGTTGTAATTACCTCGCTCTTGTCGGTGGTGGAAAAAATCCAAAGTATCCACCAAATAAGGTTATCATATGGGATGATTTGAAAAGTAAGGGAATAGCAGGACTGGAATTTCGGAGTGAAGTTAAGAATGTAAAACTGAGAAGGGATAGGTTAGCATTAAATTATTTAAGCCGCTAATTTCTTACAAATATTGCT